CGGGGCCCCGCTCAGGCCCGCAGGCTCAGCCCGCGCCGCAGCGAGCTGCGGATCTCCAGGCAGGCCTTGCGGCGCTCGTCGCAGCCGGGTCCCAGCACGTCCTGCTCGCACACCCGCCTGTTGACCTGCAAGAACCACCGGCCTGTGCCCAGCACGCGCGGCCGGTGCAGCAGCCGGCACCGGGGGGCTTGGGCAAGCTGGCCGCGCCGGGGGGCCCACCGCCCAACCCCTGAACTGGCGCGGATTAGAAGGCTGGGGTAGGGCGTGAGGGATGAGTCCAGCGCCCCGCTGCAGGCAGCCCCCAAGACCCAGCACACCTCAGTGAGCAGCTCCAGGAGGTCCCCCGCGGGGTCAGCTCGGAGGACCTCCACCAGCGTCTGGATGAAGTCGGAGCCCCTCTCGTCCCGATAGGCCACATAGCCTAGGGCAGGGATGGGGGTGTCAGGCCAGTGCCTCCAGCTGCCTTGAAATGGGGGGACCCAGAGTTGGTGGGGGTGGGGCAGGCTGGGGCTTCCTGTGTGCAGTGACTACAGCGGCTCCCCACTGAGCGGGCACGGGGACCAGAGTGGGCCCCAGTGTCCTGGAGGACCAGAGCCGGGAGCAGAGGGGGCGGGCTCATCCCGCCCTGGTCAGAGCTGTCCTAGTGAAATAAATGGCAAACAAGGGGGGAGGGCTTAGCAGTGAGGGGGTGCCCCTGCACCCCAACCCTCAGGCCCGGCTGTCCCTGGAGTCCCTTGGCTCCTGGCCAGGAAGCTGGGCCGGCCACTGCTTGGCGAGGCCATGCCCTTACCCTCTGGAGCTGCGTAGACCCTCAGGATGTCTGCTTGGTCCCAGCTCCCGGGAGGGACGCCCCTGGAGGAGCCGCCTGCAGGAGGGACCACGCTCAGCACGCTGGGGCTCCCCAGCTGGGGCTCCCCAGCCCTGGCCCCAGCTGGCTCCCTTGCACAGAAAGTGTCAGGCAAGAAGGACAGCCCTGCCACAGTGGCCCTGCCCCCGGGGGGGCCGGACCTCAGAAAGCTACTTCACTGTCCTGAGTGCAGCTGACCTGCGGCTGGGGGCAGAGCTGGGGGGTGCGGCCCTGGTCTTCAAGGGTCCCGTCCCCCTTGCTCCGAGCGCGGGGGACGTGCTCCACACACCCCATGGCCCTGCCCGACCCAGGCCCCCACGGGCAGGCAGACCCACCTGGCGCGTCGGCGTACACCTGGAGGACATCGGCCTGTGAGGGAGTGGCGGGCGGCTGCAGCCAGCGCCAGGGCCAGGGGGACACTGGGGGGGCCGCCCCCGCATCCCTGTGTCCTGAGGGTGACAGGCAGGTGCTGTCAGACATGGGGGTGCATCAGGGTCCAGAGCAGAACCCCAGGTTGGAAACTTTCGGGTGCTGAGGGTGAGGTGCTCAAGCTCATGGCCCTGACATCTGGGAGAGGGGGGTGGGGAAGGGCTGGTCTCAGGGCTCTGCAGGAAGTGGACAGGAGGGTAAGGGCAGGCCTCGCCAAGCAGGCTGGTTGAGGCAAGCAACTCAGCTGGGCCTCCAGAGAGGCCCCCAAGGCCAGCTCACCCCCACGACACGCCTGCAGCAGGAAGATCTTGGGACGTCCCCGCAAGGCCCTGCACCGGCTCAGCTCCTGCACCAGCACTTCTGCCCGCACCTCCTGCCCATCGGCCCCCAGCAGCTGCCCCCGAGGCCCCCCGTGGGCCATCAGTGCCACAAGGGCAACGCTCACGGGGCCCCGATGGGTGTCCAGCCGCTCCCGGAACTGGGCCAACTCCTCCTGGAACGCCTGAGGCAGGAGACACTGAGGGGCGCCCAGCCCCTCCCCGCCCTCCCGTCGGGCCCAGGAAGTCCCCCCGCTAAGCCCTGCTTGACAGCCTGGTGGGGCCTCACTGGAGGGGACAGACGGGTGCGGCCTCCCGCGGGCCCTCGCCTGGGGACCAGCTATGCCACGAGGCCGAGAGGAAGGCGGGCGCAGACGGGTCGCCGCGGAAGCGAAAGCCCCCAGGAAGAGCCCAAGGACCCAGCTGGGACTGAGCAGGGTGCAGGGGGCCGAGCAGCGCTGCCCAGGGCGCCCACTCCCACTCGCTTCCAGAGGCGGGGAGTGGGCGGGGGCAAGCAGCAGGGCGGGCGGGGTGTGAGGACGCAGCCCCGCCCATGAGTGTACCTGGGGTCCAGGGCAGGGGGCCCCTGCTGAACGGCCCCTTACCTGGGCCGTGGGATCTGTCCTCAGGGTGGTCTTGAAGCCCAGGGTCTGGCACAGGTCGCCCAGTGCTGCCAGGTCTTGCTCGGCCCCTGGCCGGCCTCTGCCCACCGCCAGGAGGAGGGCGGCGCGGGCCCCCGACAGGTCGTAGCGCGAGCTGGGGCCGGGGCAGCGCTGCAGACAGCCGTCAGGGCTGGGGCTCGCAGCCCCCCTGCCCCCCGCCCGGGCTGCCGGGAGCCTCTGTCCCGCTCAGACTGGCGCCCCGACCCACACCTCCGGCCGCCGAGGCTCCTCCTCATGCAGGCACAGCGAACCCCGCAGAGAACTCCGGAAAAATGGGCAGGGGGTGGCCCCTGAAGACTCTTCAGCCACCCTGCAGAAGACCTGGGGGTGGTGACAGACGACCCTCAGGGCTGCTGCGGCGGGCAGCGTGGCCGACTCGGGCCGCTCCCAGCCCCTTGGGCCCCCGCCAGGGCAGAGGGGAGAAGAGACAGGAGAAGGAGGTGAGGACACTAGAAGGGGCAAGTTCAGGCTCCAGCCCAAGGTCCTCCCTGGACACAGCTGCATTCCACTGCCCGCCACCAGCTGCAGGTCAGCCCTGCAGAGGGGCGCGTCGGCGCCGTGTGGGAAGGCGCACAGGGTGGGCAGTGCCCCGGCAGACAGAGGAGCAGGGCCGGGCCGGCACCTCCAGGGTGCCCCATGAGGCCTCCGGGGGTGCAGCCCGCCCCAGGATGGGCCGGCCAGCGGGCAGGGCGGTGCCGCCGCCGGGGAGTGTGCACGGTGGGCTCGGAGCGCACGGAGGGCAGGGGTGGCTGGGGGCAGGTGGGGCGATGGGGCAGTTAGGCGCCCTGGGGCTCCTGAGCGGCCGTGGGGCGCGGGGGGCGGGGAAGTGGCACTGGACGTGCAGACAAGCCGGCCTGCGGGGCGCGTGGGCAGGGAGGGGACCGACTTGGCGTCCGATGGGGGCGGGGGGCTACCTCCGTCAGCAGCTGCTGCAGGGACCCCCGGGGAGCACGGCCGCACCGCTGGCGCAGGTGGGTGAGGAAGGCGCCCGACTCCAGGGCAGCTGCGGGGAGCGACATGCCGGCCTGGCCTCTCCTCCCCCGCCCGCAGGCCTTGGCCCTGCCCCCGCCAGGGGTCCCTGCCAGGCCCACTCACCCCCGGGAGCGCCCGAGAGCAGCAGGAAGACCTTGGGGCGACCCCGCAAGGCCCTGCACCGGCTCAGCTCCCGGACCAGCGGCTGAGGCTGCTTCAGCTGCCCACTGGGGGCCACCAAGGCCACGAGGGCACAACCCACAGGGTCCCCGCGAGCGTCCAGCTGCTCCCGGAACGCGGCCAGCTCCCCCAGGAAGTCCTAGAGCAAGGAGAGGGCACCTGAGTCTGGGCACGGCGGGCAGTGGCGGAGGGCAGGGCGGGCTCACCTGTGTGGGCACCTCCCGCCTCTGGCAGCTCCCGCAGCCCAGGGCCCGGAGCGTGGCGTCCAGGACGGCCGCCGTGGAGGCTGGCACCTCAGGGGTGCTGAGCGTCAGGGCCATCCTGGGCCCCTGCAGGCTGTACTTGCCCTGAGGAGGCAAGGCCAGAGCTGCGGCGGGGCTGGCGCGGCCGGGAGAGGGCAGGGCCGGCCGCACCGCCCACTACCTTTCTCCCCAGGCTCTCGCGCGCGTCGGCCACCTGTGCGGCCACCTGCAGGGTCCCGGCCACCAGGAAGGCCATGGGGGCCAGCAGAGGGCTTCCTCCCAGCGCCGAGCGCCTCCCCGGCCCTCCCCGAGCTGCGCCCTGTCGGCTCCGTTATCGGCTGAGCTGGACTCTGCCCCCTCCCGAGCCCTGGGTCCTGCCCCAACGCCCTTGCCCCTGCTCTGCTCCCTGACCCGCGGTCTACTTCCTGGCTGGCATGCCGCCACCGCCCAGGAGCGGGCCTGTGCCGGGTCCTATTCTTAGCTCCTGGCCCCCCTCCCGAACGATCCTTAACCCCAGTGGCTCCCTCGGGGCAAGGCAGTGAACGCCGCTGCCCGCTGCACTCGCCATGGGCCTGGGAGGGTGAAGGGCACCCCCAGGAGGGAGCTGCTGTCCACAGTGAAACTCAGCATAAAATACTGAATGGGGGAGCTGGCTGATGAAGAGCTGGGGCAGAGACCGGCACCAAGGCACAGAACGTGCATCTCGGCCCCACACCCTCCAGGCGGCCAAGGGCCCCCCAGGCGAACCGGGCCCCACTTAGAGGGCTGCAGGGGCTCGGCCCCAACTCTGCGCTCCGCGGGCTGCAGCCTGCAGCCACGGGGCAGGTGTCCTGGGCCGCGAGGGCCGGGGAAGGGCCTTTGTGACTCAGCCCTCTCCCTGGGGTTGCGCCCAGGCACCGGCTTGGCACCCCAGGTCCCCCGTGGACAGTTCACTGCCGCCCACGACAGTCACCAGCTCCAAGCCACGCCCCCCCCACCGAGGAGCGGGGAGGACCCCCTGCTGCGGCAAAGCAACGGTCAGCAGATCTGGGCAGGCCTGGCGGGACAGGACCACAGTACCAAGGCTCCCGGTTGCCCTTTGGAGTCCAGCTGACCTGGAAGCCCAGGAGGGCCACTGGTCATCACCCCGCACACCCTAGGACACGCGCCAGGAGGCCATGGAGGGGCAGGAGTCCCGGCCCCTCCCCACAGCAGCCACCGGAATCAAACAGCCTGGACAAGGTTCGCACGTTTATTCAGGCCCTCGTTCTGTTTTCTCAAACTTGCGGAGGTTAGCCGGACGAGCTCCTGGGGGCTGGTGGCCTGAAGCTGTCGGTGCCACTCTGTGGCTGACGTGCGACCCCACGAGGCAGCACCCCAGGCTCAGTGAGGCGGCACCGCTGAGCGCTGGCCGGGCCCGGGCCGCGGCGCCGATGCCAAGCACCCGCCCGGCTCCGTCTGCGCTGTCGGCCCTGAGCCCGGGCCACCCTCTCCAGCAGACTGGCGCGGGGTGCGCTCAGGCCTCAGTGCGCCTGTCCCAGGACAGGGCAGAGTGCTCGTGGCCTGGCGGGGGAGGGGCCGGAAAGCCTCAGCACCCACGCCCAGGTCCAGCTCGGCTGCAGTGGCCATCCCTGCAGCGGCCTGGGTATCCAGGCCTGTTGTCCACCCCGCCAGAAGGCACAGGCTGGCAGGGCAGAGGCCGCCCTAAGAGGCTGGAAACAGCCGGGGCGCAGGGCAAGCAAGACGGGCCAGGGCGGCCCCTCCCTCCTCACACCTGCACGCCACCGCCTGAGGCCCGCTCCGGCTCGGGCCAGAGGGGGGGCGCAGGCGTGCCCCGTCCCGGTCTGCGGTGGCTCTGGCCGCCCTCAGCCCACGGGCTGGGCCATCTTGGCGTGCAGGCTCTGGTGGGCGATGAGGTGGGCCCGCTGCTTGAAGCTCTTGTCGCACTCGCCGCAGCCGAAGGGCCGCTCGCCCGTGTGCACGCGCCGGTGGTCCAGCAGGTAGGAGCGCAGCGAGAAGCTCTTGCCGCAGTCGCCGCAGGCGAAGGGCTTCTC